ATAAAAGGACATGAAAGAAAAATTATCTCTCAAGTTTGCAGGAGATGTAGTGGAAAATGTCTCAGTGATGAATAAGAGAGCAACAGACTTTTACTAAGCTTTGCCTTGAGAGCACTTTACAAAGTGGGCGAACAAGATCTGTGGCTAGCAACAGGGTATTAACTATATGAATAATTATAAAAAATAATCACTGGCATCCTCAGTTTTTTGTTAGGTGCTTAAAATTTGTATAGGCATGTTTGTCATGCCCGCCATTGCAGTGATGCCAACATTTAATAATAATCAGTGTATCTGATGCTCCCAAGATCCCCCAAACAGTCAGTGATCTGCCATGAAGTGTATCAATCCAGCGCCTACCACTGTTTCCTTTTGCACTCTATTGCCAGACGGGCTTCCATTGTGAGCCACCTTGGCAGAGAAATTCCCCATCGGTAAATATTTTATTGTATTAATGAATCTCATTTTGACCAAACTGTCAAACGAGTTTTAAAGCTGAATACACTAATTAACCTTGACAAAGTCGGGTCGAAAATTCTCACCAAGCAGAGTGGTGCATTCAGAGTTGAGCAGACCACCAGATTTTAAAACGTGTTTGTAATTTAGCTGATATTTAAATAATTTGCATCTTCAGTTAAAAGTGCAGCAAAATGAGATTCCAAAGATTGTTTTTGTGACATCACTGAAAAGGTTTCTATACTACAAACCCTGTAACTAAAAGAACAGGCGCCAGGGAACAAAACCTACCTACATTCACTAAGTATACAGAACCACCAGATGCAATAAATCTTTGCATCCAGAGGTCATGGATCAACAGGAGAAGAACAGCAAACCAATAAGGAACTGTCGTGGGGGTTGTGACAGAAATTAATTGGGAACCTTTTAGAAAGACCAAGGCTGGTTCAGTGAGATTCTCAGAAAGAGGAAAAGTTGGGAAGAAGTGGTGCTTATATGATTATTTATAGAAACCTGTTGTTTTCCTATCATCTTCGAGCCTCAGTCACTGGCTTGTTGAACACTCGACCTGTATAGTCTCCAAATGCAGCATGTACTGAGTATAACCTTGCATTATACAAAGTTGCTATTCCAAGGATGATGCACTCAGTAGCACAAGCAATTTGAAGGAGGCAGCCACTGTATATGCAACACATACTGCATTACATTTTTTGCAAGAGAGCTAACTCTTTCCTATTGGGGCCACTGCAGCAAGGAAACAATACAGTACAGAACAATGGAATACAATGCAGTACAAATTATTTCATTAATCTCAAGGGCAATTTGTTTGTAGCAGCTTGTTATAGACCAAATGCTGCAGTATGTCGCAAGATACAGTTACATGTAAATAACAAAGCTAAATGGGGAAAAAAATTAAATATGAAATCATCTCTGTAACAATATGTGTGTAACTTGGCAGATGCAATGAAACGTATTAACAAATCAAATAAAAGAAAATCAAGGTGACAATATCTAAAGCTAAATGGCAATCAAGCTGTAAAATGAATAAATTATTTAAATAATCATTTACAAGCAGGTAAAACATAACAAAACCCTCACAGCCACAGCAACAATCTGCAAGGATATTCTTTGATACTGTCTAAATGTTATTGGGTTGAGCTCTAAGCCTGTCCTGTGGGTGGTCAAACATATAATTTTGGGAGCCTGCGAGAAACGTCATGGTGGGTGGTTTCATGTGACAGTGGACTTTATTAATCAATTATCCATAGAACCGCCTGAGCTGTCTGCGCTCATTTAAAGTGTGTTTTATCATCAGAGAGCTGGCTGGGCCCACCGGTTACCGGGCAGCCTGCCAGATACTACAACTGCCTTAGTCTGGCTAGTTTGGCAGGACTCAAAGATAAACACTCCATGTGTTTCAGGAACCATTAGTATCAGCTCTTCCCAAGTACATGCAGACAGTTTACAATATAACAGGCCACTATATGCACATCACACCACAAACATAACTAAGTTTCTTACCGAAGCACCATCGGGAATCCTATCGGTGTGTCTGCAGGAAAAATAGGTCATGTGTGCGAAGGAAAAACAAAAGAAAGTAGCAGCTCCAAGAAAGAGGTACCACACTTTTTTGAGACCTTTTGTTTTTCCCTAACATCATCTCACTGACTGGATTACTTCATATTAGAAGTGAGGAAAAGTGAAGGCCAAATGTAAGTGAAGGATTTTTTGGGGAAAAGAGAGAATATTTTATTGCATAAAAAAGTGCTGATAGCATCTTGCAAACATCAGGAACAACTGGAAAAGCTGGAGTGTCGACTCGTCCACACTGTTCTTATTTATAAAGTGCTTTACAGACCCAAACATTACGGCTAACAGCAGGATTATCCCGTTTGAGTGCAGCTAGCTAAACTTACTGCTAAAGAGACAGATAGTAAAAGTGGACAGTATAGCCTCGGTTTCTTAACATAAAACTCATTGTTGCATCCAGGGGCAGAACAAATGTGATCCCTTTCAACTGATTTTTAGTTTTATTGTAGTTATTTTCCTCTGAGTTATCGATTCTGTCATTAGTTAGCTAACGTAAACTAATGTAAGTCTATTAGCTGCAATCAACCGACCAACTACATGACATCAGGACATCAGAGCGGGGCTCCATGGTGTATATTAGCCTTTATGTGTGTAGCATTTCATGTCCCCTCTAATAATTTATTTAGCAAGAACAAAGATAAAATGCATCATGAATGTGCAGTCGACAGAGTCCTTTGGTGCAACCAGAACTGATTGTACAAGGCAGAATGGATCCATACATTAACGTTTTGGATGCCAAATTCTGACTGAATCTGTTGCAGCAGAAACTGAGGGCATTGGACCAGACAGCATTTTTCCAATCATCTGTTAGTTAGCCAGTGTCCTGTTTTTAGCTGACAGGAAATAGACAAAGACATAGAAAATAGAAAAAAATCCCAAGGCACCTGATGTGGTCTTCTCCATGCCATGTTCAAAGTTACTTAAATCACCTTCCTCCCTCATTCTGATGCTTAATTTGAACTTCACAGCTGTATTTCCTCCTGGTAACTGTAGCCCTAACTTTGTCTTTCTTATACTCAAAGCTAAATTGAACATTGGAGTTTTCTCAGGAAAACATTAGGCTTCTGAATAATGACATGCTCTGTTTTTAATCAGACTGCAATAGTGTTGTTAGCAACAGAGTCACAAAGTCCACTGCAAGTGAGAAAGAGAACAATAACAGACTAAAAGGACGAACTGAGTATCTGCTGTTAGAGCTGCTACTGGCACAGGGTGGACTGGGGTTGACTGGAAATAAGGGGTAACCCATTTTTACTCTCAGTTGCTTGAATAAAAACACAATAAAACATTTTAACTTACAGATTAATACATGTTGACATGTTTATGCTCTATACCCAAGGGCATAGATTTGGTTTTGACATTGGTGGGGACGGATGATTCAACCACCGAACCCTGCCCTGCTTCTTATTTTTTTTCCTTTTTGTCTTTGCTTCTTGATTAAAAGAAAGGAGAAATATACTTGTCTACATATGCTATTCTACATGCTTTTAAACCATTTAAAATTACAATTCATAGTTTTATATGTGAATTATATAATGTTAAATTACTATTAAACAAATCCATCCATCCATTCGCTTCCGCTTATCCTTTTCAGGGTCGCGGGGGGCGCTGGAGCCTATCCCAGCTGTCATAGGGCAAGAGGCAGGGTACACCCTGGACAGGTCACCAGTCTGTCGCAGGGCCAACACACAAGGACAGACAACCATTCACACTCACACCTAGTGGCAATTTGGATTATCCAATTAACCTATCCCCACAAGCTATTAAACAAATGACCAAGTATTTTAGACTTTAGTTTTCTTCAGCCATATTCCATATAAAAAGTGAGACATGTCAATTCAGATTCTTTGTAAAATTACATCAGCAGCCAAACAGGTGTCATGATAATAAATACTAGTTAATCAATAGCACCAAATCATGAGTCAGTCACCTGTGACCTCGCCTCTTCACCTCTGTCTGAGCTACAACATGGCAGAGCTGCCTCTGTCACCTGATGAATAACAGTGAGACATTCCAAATACATGCAGTCACACATGTGCTTCAAATACAGTCATTGAACCACCAAGTCATCATTTCACCTGTGATCTTGTATCACCGTTGCTCTCTGAGCTTTGTGTTGGTTCTTCTGTCACCTGACAAATAGGACATACATGACAATAAGAATAAAATGTGTAGCTGCTTCAGTGTTTCTGTCACTTTGTGCAGATCTTGACTCATCAGTAATGTTTGTAGGGTGAGTGCATTTTTAAAACAATTTGTGCAAACTGCACTACAAGGTGGAATATTTGCAAAATCATGACTACCTCATGATATTTTGTCTCAAAAATTAACCCTATGAATATGTCAGTGCCACTAGGATGAAATTATTGTGTGCCCACCATTTTAACGTTAGACATATAATTTTAACAGCCTCTGTAAACTAATATCCTGGCTTACTCGAGGCTGCCGTTTTCTCTGACAGTTTGAATCAAGATTAGAAATGCTGCTCTGAGACTGAGAGAACTAATAGTGCTGCCTGTTGTGCAGTTAGTTTCCAAAACACGTTATTCATGGTTACATACAATTTTAGACTGATGTGGGCCAAAGCCTAGCATAGCCTGTAACGTTATTGTGACGGACACATTTCATGGGTTTACTTGGCTTTAAGTGACTTGCAGGTTTCTTTGAAAAATACTTTCTTATATCCAGGTTCTTCCTTTGTGCTGCCATCCTCCAGCACAGGCTTGCCGCTGCTAAAACTAAACAGAACTCCCTGAAAGGCACAGCCAATAACATTGACCATATTTGTCACATGAGGTAGGATTCCAGTAGAGAACGTAATTTATCTCTTTCTGCACCGCTGGGTGAATGAGACGTTGAAAGATCGTTTTTTTCTCTCTATCGGGTTTGTTTTTCTTTACTTGAAGAGATCAAATTATTGGTGGGGACAATTCATTAATCGCTGGATATTAGTGGGGACATGTCCCTTCCGTCCATGCCAAATCTACGCCTTTGTCTATACCAGATGGGAACCCTATTAAGTGAATGCATCAAAATCAACCAGCATCCTATTACTATCTCATTCATGCTTCCTTTAATAGGCAAATTAGACATACTTTTTTTTTGAAGATAAAACCATATGGTTTTATTACATTAAGGGACAAATCTGTGTTTGAGCAGTGCAAAACTTTTTTCCAATCCTGTTTTCTCTTTGCACTATAACTTAAGGAGCCCTTGGCAAAACACTTGGCTGAGATGCATGGAGAGGTACTAAAAAAGTAATAAAGAGAAAGATTGAATGCATGGATTTAGGTGGGTGAATGGATACCACCACAGTTCAGTAATAATGTGGTAATTATGGGGTGGTAACAAGAAGATAATATTGTGGAAATAGGAAGGTATTACCACCTAATATTTTTGCCCGTGTTATGGCAAAATGCCCGAGTAATGAAATCCGCTGGTTCTGATTGGCTGAGCCTACAATGCCCACAATGCCTTCCGAATCATGTGACAACCCCTTGGTTGTTGTTCTAGATAGCAATTAGCCTATAGCCTGTCGTTCAGCATCGCCTCAGTCAAAATGCGCGATGGGTGCTTCATCTTACGAAAATTTTCGTTTTACGAAGACCCTCGGGAACAAATTAATTTCGTAAGTCGGGGTTCCACTGTAGGCATATTCATCATACTGTGAATTAGGGGGTACGTGGGATAAAAAGAGGACACTATTTCTCAGTGAGTGCTCAGTTTTTAATAAGTTCTTTATTTTTGTCTTACTCAATTTATTAGTGAATTCAGAAATATATTTTAACTTTACAATGTGAAATACAATCATTTTAATGACTTGTAAGTAACAAAACCTCCTAAAACATCATCTTAGACAGTTATTTTGTCAAATCTGACTTACAGTCAGAAAAATTTGATGAGACTCCTTGACTCATAGGCACATATTTGTTTTGCATTATTACTCACAGCGTCTGGAACAATGCAATATTACTCAGTTATAATCACTGTTGAAATAAGATCAAAGAACAAAGGATACTACTCACCCCATCTTCAGTCTAGCCTTGAGACTATTCAGTTAAATAATCAGACATTATGCCCTGAGACTCAGGTTTAATGAAGTCCATCATTGTCTCCTGACTCTACCCAGATTTGAGATATTAAAGGTCCTTGGAAGTAGTTCCCAGGACCTCAAGTAATGAAAAAACATCTTCTGCTATCTGACACACATAGTCTGAAATTCAGTATTAATAACAGCATGCAAAAAGCAATGCTTTTTAAGATTTACTTTTTTGGTCTTTGTGCTTTTGATACTGAGAGCCAGGAAGAGAAAAGAAGAGAAGAATCAAACTTGGGCTGTAGTGTAACCACTTGTGCTCATGCACTATGAACACAAGATGCATTGGAAAATACTTTCTACACACTGATCAACATTTGCAGCTTGGAAAGAATAGATAATAATAATTTATTGTAAAAAATCGATCTTTCTATGCTTGTCATTTTATAGTTTAAACACTGAAAAACCCTCGGAATAGAGATGTTCCAAAAGTGTTGAAATCTCTTGAATCACTGTTTAAACACAGCAGCCGAAGGTTTTATCAGCTATAATTAACATCTCATGTTAGCTTTTTTCTCTTTAAATGTCTATACATTGGTGGTGCTCTAAGAGCTTCACCACAAAATGAATGTAGCTTAAATCTCCTCTAGGCTCAGGGTTATGCAGGCAATAAGCTTTTTAGACTGAGAGCTCACAGTCAACATTTTCATTTGAATATGGGTTTTGAACTAGTAACAAAAAATGACGCCAGCCCTCAAACTACACTAAATAGCTCTATATGCACCCATAACATCCCCTGAACAGCTAATGACAAATCATTGCTTAACATATACATACATGAGACATTACTGATGTCCGTCTTCTTTAACCTATAAGAGCCCAGACCCATTTTTACTGTCAGGAAAACTATAGGTGAGTCAGTTTTGAAACTTTAACAGAAACTTTCCTCAGTGTGTAAAGGGGCAGTGACACCTGCGTTACTGTTGGAGCCTGTGGATTATTTTTGCTGGTGACTGTACAGGGTTTTGTTTCCTCCCCAGGATTTCGCCTCTCTGTTTCTTCGGGTCGCCTCGTCTGGTTCGTTTCCTTCTGGAGGTTTTGGCAAACAGTACCAAATCGAGTGCGCTACCAGTGTGTGTTTCTTCACCTGCACGTCCTGGCTCCGCGTTCCCATTCACATTCTGTTGTAAATACACTGTCCCTGAAAATTCGCCCTTCACTGTAAATAAATTTCCTTCATTGCAGCTCTGTGCCTGTAAAAAAATATTGAACAATGCACCTCCAAAATTGTTTTGTTTTTACTCAAAACAGCTTTTGTGGTAAAAGTGATTTACAAAAATTGCCAATACAAACTTATACCATTCAGCCACAACAGTGTGTAATTTTGTGCTCCCCTCTTGCTAAAACAGCTCTGAGCAGTCGATGAATGAACGCCACGAGACCTCCTGGGTTGTCAGGCATGAAGACATTAACAGTTGTTTTGGTTTTTTGTTTTACTTTAAACTGGCACATCCCAAATCACAAATCAAGGGAATTTAATGACCACATCAAAACCATCAAATTTTTCTTATATTAGTCAACTTTCCCGAACATTGCAGTTGATATTGCAGCATAGTTTGCTGAAAGAGCCCATTGTCATTTCAGAATACCCTGCCATGAAACATACATGGTGTGCAACAATATTTAATCTTCTACTTACATTTTAGGATGTTACCTCTTTCCTCTAAATACACATTTAAAACTCTAACAAAACACAGCATGAATATAAAATTCGAGGTATACAAGTGCTAAATATTTAACATTGCTAGATGCTGCATTTCATCAAACTCCTTTACATTAGACTGCACATTCACAGCCATTACTGAATGGGCTGTACAGTGATTTCCAACTTGCAGTTACAGTATTTCTTTCCAAAGTCTATCTCCCTGAAAAAAATCCAAACACCCCCAGCATACTAGGAATGTTAAATGTACAATTAACTTTTTATTAAGACATTTAATTGTGAATGCTACTCCTTCTCTTTACCCAATTTAACATCTTGACTTATTGCACTCGTTTGATTTTTTTCTTGTAACTGTTATGGCCGCTACTATTGCTGGTTTGAAGACTTAACTCTATAGTTTTCTATAGAGTTTGCCACTCTATGGTGGTAAAGTTATCACCACTTCCATTTAAGTTTGCACCTCTGTCGTTTCTCAGGTACTTTTATTGCATTACACTTTGTGTTTCTGTGTAATTTTACAACTTTCTTTTATTTGTGCAAGTGCTGCAAAAGCATTCCCCTTGCACAGATTATTAAAGTTATCTCATTCTGAAGGACTTCAAAAAGCTTGCAGTCATAAGTGGCTGGTGTTCTTCAATTTCACTTCACTTTGTAACTGCTGTCAGTAACAATCAGTACAGACCAATCATAGCCCTTCCCCAGCACTCCTGAACACACTATTGTTATGACATTTTAAGAGAATGAGATATTGCACAAAATGATCCTTATAATTCCTCTTTTATTACAGTCTGACTCCAGAACTCTGATAAGAGCATCCTTTAAATGTGCTTTCTAAGAAAGGATCATGAGTGTTTCTTTTCTCAGTAAAAAATACAAACTCCCAGCTTCTGTAGATTTACTGTCATCTCTGATAGTTGCTCACATTTTCCAGAGACAGCCCTTTCTTACTGATCTATCATCTGTACTAGGCAGGCCAGAGTTAATGCTGGAGTCACGTTGAATCCACCTGGACTGGCAGACCGCCGCTTTCCAAGTCTCAGTAAAACCACCTCTTTCTTTTTCACTGATCTCCTGGATGGGGACCTTAGGGTTTTATGATTATATAACCAATTGTCAGCCATCACGGTGAGCCACTAGTGAGACTACAACAGGTTTATTGTCTGAAGAAGGGGCTTTTGTGATATCGATAGTAGGTTCACATGAGAGCCCCAGTTGGGGGACTGTAGCAGCTGGTTGACCCAATGAGGCTACCATAAATAGGAATTCGTTAGTACGGCGGGGACCAGTTCCTGCTATTCCCCTCATGGCCTTGGTGGGGACCTTGGAGGAACTCTTTAAGCTGGAGCCTCGTCGAGGAGCTTCACACTGCAGCAGGGCTTGGAAGCACCTGTAAAACTGAGGCAAGCATACAGCACAAACATATGGTCAAGCTTCTTTTAAACTACACAGTTATATGCAAGAGACCACAGAGGACAAAACTTTATGAACTAAACACTTAGTTCTAATGTTTCTAGACTGCATTTTATACCTTTTTCTAATATTGCTTTAAGGACAATATCAGCTTGATGCATTTTTAGCAAAGTTGCTGCTTCTTCAACAGGGAAGTTTATAGTGACTCATAATCTTTATTTTCTTAGTCTCACTCTTCTCTCTCTTAATTATGAGTGTGAGCCATCACTGTATTTTCAACTGATGTAGGTTATTTGTGCAAAGGATCATCGGCGTAACTTTGTGTTGAACATTGGGGGTGTCAGGGTCCTGGGTCTCCTGACCCAGCGTTTTAGTTGTTTGTGATTTTTGTATTATTGTACTTGGTGTGAGTTTCTATGGTTTCTAGTTTCGATCCCTTGCCCTTCATGTTTCTCTATGTCCCCTCTGTTCTGTGTAAGTCTGTGTCTGCATGTTTGAGTTCCCCTCTGTGTCTCTCGGTTCTTAGAGTCCTCTTCCTTATGGTTTATGTCTCTGTTTTTCTTAGTTGCTGTCTCCACTGTGTCAAGTTCGCGTCTCTGTGTGATCCTTCCTGTTTTACTTTGTAGGTCCGTGTCTTATGTGAATGTGTCCTGCTTTGCTTGTCTCGTCAGTTCTAATTTCCCCCAGCTGTGCCCTCCTTCTGTGTCTCATTCTCCTCGTTACTTCCCAGTGTATTTAGTCCCTGTGTTTCTCTGAGTCAGTGTTGCGTCGTACCCTCAACAAGCTGTGTGTGTTTTGCCTCCGTGTTACCAGTGTTTTTGTTTCCAGCTCTAGTTTCAGTTCAGTATTTCTGCTTCAGTGTTTTAGTCCACCAGCGTTTTTGTTTGTCTTTTGGTGAGTTTAGTTAGTAAGAGGTTTTACAGCAATAAAGCTGCACTTTAAGTTGAACTTCTGTGTCTGAGTCCTGCATTTTGGATCCACCACTCCTGCTTGCCCACCTGCCACACAGCCAACCATGACAGGGGGGTGTCAAGATCTCTGTCTAAATAAGTAAATAAATCTGGGTAAATTCCCAGATGATGAAACATGCAACTATTTTACTGGTAATAACCAGTGATGGGAATAATGGTAATTAGTAATCTAACTAATTACTATTTCTATCGTTACAACGCCGTTACAGTTACTAACAAGAAAATGCGGTCGCGTTACTATTTTTCAGCAAACAGACGGTTGAAGCTGTCTTCAGCTTACCGCACCTTCAGTTGTAGCTGTCTATGTAAGTAATCTGGGCGCTACAGCTATAAGCAGCTGCGCGCAGTCTTGCAGACAGCAATCACTTTCTGCCTGACGATCACTTTTTGGCACAACACCTGGAGCTAAGGGGGCAAAACAAACGCATGACTGCTGCTGTTTGACTGAGAAAGAATAAAGTAGTCGTGGTAAGCCAATCACATGACCACGTCGAGATGACAAAGAAACAAGGTGATATATACCAGTTTTTAAATTGTGCTGATAGGCCACGTAAAGCCAGAGTCATGATAAACAATATATACGCGGTATTTTTTTCCTGAATAGTTTCGTCACGTTTGCTGTCTAAGGACAGCGCTAGCAAGCACTCTCTGCTTATGAGCAAGAACTGAAAAAACAAAAAAACACCGCTTTCGTGTTGGTGGAAAAATTATACACCTCCTGCTGTCGGGGGGGGGGGGGGAATTACGCCCTTGCAAAGGATGGCAAGTGGAGGGTGTATCCAGGTTCTACTGTGTTACCTCTGCTGTGCTGTGAAAAATTACTTTATTGCCAATCAGATGCTCTCCAGATGGCTTTGCATGATGGATTACAGTCTGGTGCTATTTTAATTCTGTCGAATTTGACAAGATCCCAACAAAGCCTCCACCGTGTTTTACAGATGGCTGTAGACTGTCACTGCTGGATCTCTCTCCTGACCTCTACATATGGCTCTTTATTTATATTAACAATTTCAAATTTGGATTCATCACTTCATAAGACCTGTTGCCACTGATTCTCACACAAGTTATTGTGTGATTTGGCATACCTCATCCTTACTTAGGAATGGCTTGACAGCTACCCTTCCACCTTCTTTTTTTTAGGGCTACCATTTCTTCTTTCACCCCACTTGTTCAATCTCCTCTAATATATAACACTATATTAGATTTATTATATTCTGGCTTTGAGAATTACCTTGTTAGTGCAAAAATACTATTTTATTCCTGTGAAACTCTATCATCTTTAGCATTTTTCATAGATTAAAACTTAGTAAATTACTTCTCTAGAAAGCCAACTATTACTTGAGCTTCTGGCTTCCAGTCTGGTTGATTGGAAGAAAATTATGAAGAAATAAAAGGGGTGTGTTGTATTTTAAAAGAAATGTTTAAATTTAAATGGGAGTTCAGTGCTTACTGTTCACACACACAAAAAAGGGGTGAGAAAATGGGCTTATTTTGTATATGTATTCTCATACGTGGTTATTCCAAATGTTCCCAATTAGGTTCTCAATGTGTTTTGTGCAGTGCCACAAATCATTTAGCACTTTTAACAACATGAAAGTTGTGCCAGTTAAAACAGAAAGTGCACTCCATGCTGAAGCCAAACCTGCTAAATGCCAAATCCAAAAAGTTCAATCATTTCATTAAAAGTTTGTACAGCAGGGGAAGCAAAAGGTGCTAAAAGAAAAAACAAGAAAAAAAAGAAAACCTTCAGCACAAGGCTTCATTCAAGTGGCCTTTCAAAACCATGGATTTCTTCCTGAAGCCAATGCCCTCTTTTTCAGATTTACACACACACACACACACACACACACACACACACACACACACACACACACACACACACACACACAAATAATCACATTGTTAAGTTTATTCTGCTTTTACCACTTACATTTGTGTTTGTGGTCTAGCCTCCGTTCACCAGCCAGCTTCCCCAGCCTTTGGGGTTTACCCTAAAAACTGTGGCACAGGTCATTGTCTTGCATTTCTGAAAGCGTTGGCTGTTTGATGTAATGAGGAAAATGTGAATGTGTAGCAAATAGAATGAATTTGATTTTTTTGTTTTTGTTTTAGGGAAAATAAAATTATATCATGCTGCTCTGAATAACTGACTTTTTGCATTAACCTTATTCGATGTAGGAATAATGTCCCATTGGTTTTGGAGCAGCACTGGCATCCACAATCATTATCTCCATTGTTCTTAATGCTGCAGAGTCAGCTTTGGATAAACATAACAACCCTCTGGAGACGAGAAATTGAGGACCTGTGGTGTTGCTCGGTCTCTGTATAACAAAATAGGCTGTAAGGGAAGAGGACGCTGACTCTGTAACTCTGAACATGAATGGTGTTAAATTAATGAAGCAGGAAACAAAGATAGGGTTCATGCTGCGTTCACTGGGCTATTGGTAAGCTACTGCACTTTAGTTCCAGAAAAAGGCTGACTCTAGGCTGAGACCTGCCCTGCAGATCTACAAACAGAGGTGATCCCCTACTGTGTGCTGCTACAGAAAAACAAGGACTTCAGGCATAGCAGAACACACCCGAGCCCTCCTTGTACCAGAAAAATTACAGTCCCACTGCTGGAGAAATGGTGACGGGTCTTTAGCATTAGGAAGGGGTACAATTATGTACTCATCATGTAGGTGCAAGGCTATTAAAGAAACAAAACAATCATTGGGGAAATGCTGCAAAAACTCCCAACAAACTCTGACATGGTGACGACAGGGTTGTGTCCACCTGGTGGACCCTAATAACATACATTTATCACTTTTTTGGCCCTGCTTTAATCAGAAGTTTCTTCTATTTTGTGACAGAGATGTGTTCGATGTGAGCTGTGACAAAATGAAAATGTCTCTGAAGTGGTGGGAGGCAAAGATCTCAGCACCTTTGCCTCTTAATTTTGCAGCTCCTGCAGTACACTGTTATTAGCAGCTCCATTACTGCAACTTCACCGGAAAGGCAGTTTAGATGTTCAGCATCTTGTTTGTGAAGGCTATAAGCATCGTTGTTCTTATTCCACGAACCTAATATCCTAAATCCATATTTGATGATGTATATCATATATTCGCTGCCAAACACTGCCCCAGAGAAGGAGACAGTAGGGGACAGTGCATTTATATCTTTAGTTTGAGAGGTAATGGAGTGTTACCTTTCTATATGAGTGTCAGAGATCCAGACTTGCACTATTGCAAACTGGAATTAACATGCTCATCAGATGCTTTATATGGTGGATGTTTTAGACATGTACTTCTATTCTTTCTTCTGCATAATGCCGGGAGGAGCCAGTCAGAAGACTTAAAGGCTTAATTTAGAGAGGGGAAGACCTTAAAGAAGAACTAAAACAGCTTGATTCAGACTGTGGATGAATTGTAGGACTGCACTAAGGCCTAATATGAGATAAATAAGGTTTATTTTGAACTCTGAATCACTTATATAGTAAAGTCACTTTAAAGGTTGTTACATGGGATGTAAAAACTTATAAGTTATTGAAAAATGTGATAATCCTAAGATTCCACAGATACATAAAACATTGAAACAGTGAAATATTTTTGCAGAGTGTTGTTCAGTCTAATTAATTAACAGATAGTCCTTGATTAGGACATTTTGAAGGACCTCTCAGTTCTTCATTCATTTCCCAGTAACTACTCAGAGTGGGAAATAATAACAAAAGTACTGTTTAACATAATCATGGATTTTGCACTGTTAGGTTCTGCACTATAGTGTCACTGCTCTTCACAGGTAAATGGGATGATTACAGGGCTTCACCTGAGCTCACGCTTCGGAATTATCACCAGTACATTCCAGTGCTTCTCAGCATATTAGCTTAATGGGCAATGAAAGACACGCACTGTGCAAAAAGCTGGATGCATGATTGAAGTTGCAGAAGAGCTTTACAATATAAAAGCAATCATAACTGCATTTCTTTGTAATCAAAATAAAGACATAAAGCTTTTATTAAATCAGCTGGTCTGTAAA